GGATCACTATTTTCGTGTTCACACTCATTACTTACAAGTAACGGGATGTTTCTTTAGTACAGCATTAAAAAGATGAAGAAAAACACATATCTGCCATCCTCAGAACACAATAAAAGGACCTGAAAGTTTGACAGGGTTACTCAATAACTCTTGTTGCTTATCTGGATACCCGAGAGCACAAAAGTCGACTTCAAGATTCCATCCAAGACGTGTGTGTGCACGGCAGGTACCTCGGCACACTGCAAACTGACACACCTGCGTCTTGGCGTTCTGGACAGAAGCATCATTCCTCAGCCCGTCGCCTGGCTGTTCTGTTTGCTGTACTCACTCCCTTGTAACTGGATTAACTGCTACTAAGCTCGTTAGGTTAGGTGTTGGTTGTGAATAGGTGACTGCCGGTACTTAGGGAGGTAATAGAGAATCATGGATCACTGATCAGGTGGAAATGCTCAGAAAGCAGTACAGAAGCATCTCCTTGACGACTCATGAATAAACCTAACATAGCAGTTGTGATCAACTGTAACCACCTCTACACTACAATAAGACAGAGCCATCTGTTGTCATCAACTGTAACCACCTCTACACTATACTAAGACAGAGCCATCTGTTGTCATCAAATGTAACCACCTCTACACTACAATAAGCCAGAGCCATCTGTTGTCATCAACTGTAACCACCTCTACACTACAATAAGACAGAGCCATCTGTTGTCATCAACTGTAACCACCTCTACACTACAATAAGACAGAGCCATCTGTTGTCATCAACTGTAACCACCTCTACACTATACTAAGACAGAGCCATCTGTTGTCATCAACTGTAACCACCTCTACACTACAATAAGACAGAGCCATCTGTTGTCATCAACTGTAACCACCTCTACACTATACTAAGACAGAGCCATCTGTTGTCATCAACTGTAACCACCTCTACACTACAATAAGCCATCTGTTGTCACAGAGCCTTCTGTTGTCATCAACTGTAACCACCTCTACACTACAATAAGACAGAGCCATCTGTTGTCATCAACTGTAACCACCTCTCACAACTGTACCTCTACATTAAGACAGAGCCATCTGTTGTCATCTACACAGACAGAGCCATCTGTTGTCATGTAACCACCTCTACACTATACTAAGACAGAGCCATCTGTTGTCATCAACTGTAACCACCTCTACACTACATTAAGACAGAGCCATCTGTTGTCATCAACTGTAACCACCTCTACACTATAATAAGACAGAGCCATCTGTTGTCATCAACTGTAACCACCTCTACACTACAATAAGACAGAGCCATCTGTTGTCATCAACTGTAACCATCTGTTGTCTCTAACACTCTCTACAATAAGACAGAGCCATCTGTTGTCATCAACTGTAACCACCTCTACACTACAATAAGACAGAGCCATCTGTTGTCATCAACTGTAACCACCTCTACACTATACTAAGACAGAGCCATCTGTTGTCATCAACTGTAACCACCTCTACACTACAATAAGACAGAGCCATCTGTTGTCATCAACTGTAACCACCTCTACACTACACTAAGACAATAAGACAGAGCCATCTGTTGTCATCAACTGTAACCACCTCTACACTACACTAAGACAGAGCCATCTGTTGTCATCAACTGTAACCACCTCTACACTCTAGAGCCATCTCATCAACTAACCTCTACACAGAGCCATCCATTGTTGTCATCAACTGTAACCACCTCTACACTACACTAAGACAGAGCCATCTGTTGTCATCAACTGTAACCACCTCTACACAACTGTAACCATCTGTCTGTAACTACCTCTACACTAAGACAGAGCCATCTGTTGTCATCAACTGTAACCACCTCTACACTACACTAAGACAGAGCCATCTGTTGTCATCAACTATAACCACCTCTACACTACAATAAGACAGAGCCATCTGTTGTTGTCATCAACTGTAACCACCTGTAACTACACTACACTAAGACAGAGCCATCTGTTGTCATCAACTGTAACCACCTCTACACTACAATAAGACAGAGCCATCTGTTGTCATCAACTGTAACCACCTCTACACTACACTCTACACTAAGATAAGACAGAGCCATCTGTTGTCATCAACTGTAACCACCTCTACACTACAATAAGACAGAGCCATCTGTTGTCATCAACTGTAACCACCTCTACACTATACTAAGACAGAGCCATCTGTTGTTCTACACTACAACACTACAATAAGACAGAGCCATCTGTTGTCATCAACTGTAACCACCTCTACACTACAATAAGACAGAGCCATCTGTTGTCATCAACTGTAACCACCTCTACACTACTACTAAGACAGAGCCATCTGTTGTCATCAACTGTAACCACCTCTACACTACAATAAGACAGAGCCATCTGTTGTCATCAACTGTAACCACCTCTACACTACAATAAGACAGAGCCATCTGTTGTCATCAACTGCCATCTGTTGTCATCAACTGTAACCACCTCTACACTACACTAAGACAGAGCCATCTGTTTGTCATAACAACTGTAAGCCCACCTCTACACTACAACTAAGACAGAGCCATCTGTTGTCATCAACTGTAACCACCTCTACACTACACTAAGACAGAGCCATCTGTTGTCATCAACTGTAACCACCTCTACACTACACTAAGACAGAGCCATCTGTTGTCATCAACTGTAACCACCTCTACACTACATTAAGACAGAGCCATCTGTTGTCATCAACTGTAACCACCTCTACACTACATTAAGACAGAGCCATCTGTTGTCATCAACTGTAACCACCTCTACACTACAATAAGACAGAAGACATCAACTGTAAGCCATCTGTTGTCATCAACTGTAACCACCTCTACACTACAATAAGACAGAGCCATATGTTGTCATCAACTGTAACCACCTCTACACTACAATAAGACAAGAGAGAGCCATATGTTGTCATCAACTGTAACCACCTCTACACTACATTAAGACAGAACCATTTGTCGTCATCACTGTAACCACCTCTACACTATACTAAGACAGAGCCATCTTTTATGCTTTCGGCGCATTACTCAAGAGATATAAATCTTCCTTCCAAACAACCATATTTGCGTCATGATTATATTATCGATGTGAAGTTTGACGCCATATATATACACGGCATCATTAAGAAATTTATTCCAAGAGCAGAATCCATTTATGATTTCGACTATATTATGAGAACGTGTTTATGTAGTAGCGAGACCAGGTGTTCGCGAAAAGGGGAGCGTATTAGGCGAAACAGAAAGTACCCGTCATAATCACACGCAAAGTCTAGTCTGAAACATCACTATCTACTTGGCGTTACAGTTCGTCCACATTTCCTCTGCCATAAAAATATGGAACGCTTTGTTGAGCCCTTGAATATAATGACCTTGGTCAGACAACATTTACGTGGCGTGTTTCTGTCTCTGTGAATCTTTATGTATGGATCTATATGTGACGAGTGAGTGAGTGAAAAATGTTTTTCATCAACAACTTTGCAGCTATTCGCGGCCAGAAATACTTTGTATATTACAATATATAAGGGATACAAATAAGAGTGATCGTAAAATTCAGCCAAATATCACATTGAAAGATAAAACCTGACTATTGAGATAAAAATCTATATTTTGTCATATCATTTGATTCCTAGTAAATAATCTACAATTAAATGGTTAGAAACTGTTGTAAAACGTTCGTCTAATGTATGATTATTATCATAAAAACGCTCTGACAAGTGCAGAATCAACACATGCCTGCGAAATGTGCTTGATTGTTCTGTGACTATGACAAGGGATGCAAAATGGTGCCTCTACACCCTTTGATAAAAATGAATGTGCATAATGACTATATCCAATGCGACACTGGATCTATATATGAAATAGATCAGGCCGTCACATCAGTCAATGTTTCAAGCTCAGATAGGCAATCTAGTGGAAGGGGAATCGGATATGTGGATGTTATTTACTGATATCATATCATCAATATAACTGAAACTTGAGTTCAATTTCTTGGGCAAATTACCTTGTTTTGATTTCGCCAAACCGAGCAGAAATCCTGATTCACATGCATCCGCAAGGAGTGGAGTACAAACTGTGCCCATGGGGATGCCAAAAACCGGTGTAAATGTTTTGCTCGAAAATTTTACAACTTGATCAATTTATCAACAACGGCACAAGCACACGTGATGACGTTCAGAGGACGAACTTTCGCTTTCATACTTAACAATGCAATGTCAAGCAAACATTTTGTAAAGTCCGTCTTGGTCTGACAAATACTATCGAGAAACATTTGGATATCACTTGTCGTATATTACATTTTCAAGTCGATGCAATTCCTCCGAAAAGTTGTCTATGTTTTGTAGTGCTAATGTATAGCTCTAAAGGTGGGTTTGCTATTTTCAAAAATCATTTTTAGACCGACACATGGTGTACTGCTAAAGTTCCAATTAAGGGGTCATTTTCATTAAACAAAACTGTACAAATTTCAAATCTAATCACCATCGTGACTTTCGAGTTGAGAAAATGTGAATGTCTTGTCAGATTTCTATCACTGTACAAATGTTCAAAATACACTTTCCACACTTCCCTGTGAACTTACGTAATATTTCTGTATAAGCTCGAAGGATATAACGTATGCTTGCTTGTAATTCTACACATCCCTTACTTGTTACTTGCTATATGCCCTTCAATTCACCCGGAAGTTGTCCTTCCCAAGCAAATCAATCACAGGTAACGCAAAACGCGCCGAGTATATAAACGCGAAAGCCGTAAGGAGAAACATCACTGATTTTCCTACGTTGACAACAAGTCGCTCCATATATCTCATCGTGAGTACCCAGGTAAACACCATTTTATAAAATTAACTTTTGGACAGGCAGGAAATGCTTTTGAGTCACCACATCATCTTTTTCTGTGTATTTTCGAAATCATTGGAAATCATTTCTTACATTCTAATTTCTTTCACGAAACACGTTCACTCTAATTGACAGCTACCGACAATGATGAAGCTTATTGTCGTCCTTGTTGCCTGTCTGGCTGTTGCTACATACGCCAAACCCATGGGCTACGGTTTGGGCATGTACGGAGGCGTCGGTGGCCTTGGCTATGGTATGGGAGGCCTATACGGAGGCATGGGCGGCTTTGGCATGGGAGGACTGTACGGCGGTATGGGTCTTTATGGAGGCATGGGAGGATTGTATGGAGGCATGGGAGGATTGTACGGAGGCATGGGAGGACTGCACGGAGGCATGGGAGGACTGTATGGTGGCATGTACGGAGGAATGGGACTTGGCAAAGGAATTGGTAAGTTGGCAACGTAATGTAATCATAACATGAGACGCTCAAATGTATTAACATGACACACATGAAGTGTGGTTGTGGGGACAGTGAAGTTACCTTTATCGTTTGTGCATATTAATTTGCAAATTGCAGTAACACGTAACATTTGCGAAGGGAATGAGTGGAGAGGGGTATGTTTGGGTTTCGTTAGCGACAGATTATTTGCTTTTTTAATACATACAATTTTCCCGTTAGAAAGACGAAACTAAACGATATTTATCCCAAAGTAACCTGGCAAAGAACCTCTAAACAGCATTTTTCTCCTATTTTAGTACATGATAATTGTGTATTGTGTTGTCTCTTTCAGGTATTGGATATGGTTACTACTGAGAGTCGTGTCTTCAAGAAACAGCTCCCTGTGATTATTCACTCATGTACAACCAACGGTTGTAATAAATATATTTACATTCATTCGTCTAAATTTTATCATTTGTACACATATGACATTTTACATCATTTAGAAATATGAGTTAGCAGAGGTTCTAATAGAAGCGATTCCCAACACCAACGTTGGAGTGTGTGAGTGAATATTGCATGAGCTAATTTCAGATTTCCCCCATCTGTAGAGTTACATTGCACGTCGTGTCAAAAACTCTTGTAAGAGAAAAGTAAATGTAAAGATCACACTTAAAGAATGTGGGTGCATGTGCTGTAGTATATGGAAGAAAATCACATCAAACCGCCTTGGGTTTATGTCTTCAAATATGTTCTAACATACTTTTAAATACCAAGGCTTGTTCAACACATTTTGTGTGAATACATGGCGTTAAAGGGAAAATGCTAACATCACAACACACAAAATAGTCTCAATTCTATTTGCATCAAACAACTATTTAAGGAACATGTTTTGTACACTTTTAAATTTTCTGACTTAATGTTTGCAAGTAAACGTTTCAAATGAAAATGGACATATTTCATTGTGATTTAGGTCGCAATCAGCAATATCACAGGTTCTTCCATACAACCCCGAGGTTATATGATACAGATTTACCCATTTTAAGATACAGTCTTATGATTCAGGTTCACAACCCCCATCTCCTGTTTATATATTATCCGCCACTACCTGACATAACTGAAACAGAGTCTTCTCTTGATAGGTTCAAAGATCCCCTTCCCCGTGGCATCATTTCCCTACATCGTCACTACTGGTGTAATTCTGCAGACATCCACACAACGTGTACACAAACCAAAGAGCATGTTGACCTGCTAACTTACCTGAGTTTAATGCTAATTATCTGTTTCTAAGGGAATCAAGAACACCTAGTTGCAAAAGAAAAGATAAGGATGAATCACGATAACAAACTAGTTTGTGGCTTCCCTTAATAATGTGTATGAATATTGCCTTTTATGGGAAGTCAACTTGAGCTTCTACCGACGCCCTTGACTATAGCAAAGTTGTACAAATTACAGTGTATGCAACAATGAAACCCAAAACAGTTGGCACATTCCTATCGCATTGTATATAAACCAAGCTCGGACATATCACCATTTACAGAAATTCGTTTAAGTATATGTATATATGTTTAAATAAAGCTTGTTCGTGGCTATAACAATGTTGTCCTATGAAGTTAACTTTTTATTCGATAAATTTCCTATGATTTCATCACAAATTTCTTATGGGTGTGGAAAAGGTTTGACGCGTTTTGTTTACAGGACATCACGACGACATACTTTCGTGAATTCCTTGCTAGACTATTTCAAACGTGGGCGTTCCATTGTTTCATGACGGGAAAAGCTGCTGACTTGGAGAATCCTGCAAATGTGAAATGTTCATTTTGTTGTTGCTGTATCACCTTGTATTACATCGCAGTTTAACAGGTCTGTAAATAATTGAACTGATGCCAGACAAACGTGTTACTGACATTATAAAAGTCGCCCTACGCAATTCAAGTGTCTGATTACCAGATCGTTCGGCCGGTTCTAAGAAGCATAGGTTACTCAGAATCTATTCCATCTTTTCAATACGGAAAGCGGCAATTCATCAGTGTGATACCGAGCTTGTTTTACTAATACGAATGGGGAATTAAAGTAGATAATGTTGTGATGTAATACTTCTGAAATGCTTATTTTGACAAATGTGTTTTTCTGTGCCTCACAATGAACCAGGGTCTGCTTTTAAAAACGACAGTCGTAAGTCCATAACATATCACTCTAACAAGGGAGAGACAAGAGTGAGTGAGTGAGTTAAAATTTAAAGTCACATCGGCAATATTTCAGCCATATGGTTACTAAAACAAGTTTTAGAATTCACCATAAATACATGTAAATTATAAAACCTGCCATCGAAGGACAGTAAAACCGATTAGAATATCACAATATCAAGAAATAAAACTAGCATCTCTCTCTAAAATTGGATTTTAAATTAGAAGGTAGATCACCATACCAGGGGCCATGGGGCCATGGGGACTTACAGTGCTTTTGCTAACTGCATGGACCCTAGTTGGATTTACACCATCCCTTCAGCCGCTATAATTTAAAACAACGGATATGCTACGATTAATAGTTCGGTAGAGCGAAATTGACCTTGAAAGGGACTTACGTACCCTCTCAGGAGGACAATTGTTGGTTGGTTGGTTTTATAGTTTTAGGGCGACGTGGGCCAATAAGAGGCCTATGCGCGCCCATCAGATTGACTTGATTTAATAAACAATCATAGATAATTTTATCGCCAAAAGGAATCGTTTAGTTAAGATAAAAGAAACGACAACACTATTAATATTAATTAGGATAGATGTATACATATATCGAATAACCTCTGCTTTGTGTTACGGATTAAAAAACCTTAAGTAATCACTTCCATTTCTGAAACATGAAATACTCATTTATAAAAAAGCAGTAGGTTCAGATGACAGAGTGTTAAAATGATTTAAAACCACAGAACTAAATCTGTCTAAGCCATTCGAGAGCCTGTCTAGATTACATCATATTTTCCAGATGACGAGACAAAATCTAAAACTGCCTGTTGCACAGACCCATACATGATATTGGGGCCCAAAACTGTTTCTAATGAAAATACATCATCAACCTCAAGTAAAGTACTCCTGAGATTATGTCTTATGTTGGTATGCCCAGGGCATGTAATTAGATAATGTACGATATTTTCAGGCGTCTCCAAATTGCAATGGCCACATTTAGAAGAGACCGTCTTATCTATAATACTCCTGTAAGCATTTAGCCCAAAGTGTCCAAGTCTGAGACGTGAAAGAATAACCTCATCACGCCTTTTACGACGACAAATTTTATGACCAGATTTTTAAGATGGTCTAAGTTTGTACATATGTCGATAAAACATTTTCAAAATCTTTAGGGACTGGTTGAAATTTAAATAAATCAACTTCAGGAAACTGTAATCCGGATTTGGCCAAATTATCTGCAATCTCATTCCCATGTATTCCAATATGTGCTTGGACCCACACAATATCGCATGCAATGTACTTCATGTTTGAAGATGGAGGACAATAATTATACTGTTTTTTAACCCCCTTTGAGGATACAGCCACTAACAATCGAAGTTGATAATCTACACTACCAATTCTAAAAACGTATCTATTTACAAAACATATATCAAACTTCATTTAACAAATCTATCTCTTTTAAAAAATCAATGATTAAATGATAATTAACATTATTAAAAAGGTCCTTTACTGTTTTGATATTGAAATATTTATCCCTTATGATGGAGAATTCAACACAGTCAAGCAGGATATGCTTGACAGTGACTCTCTCATCACAAGGGATACAAAACGGAGGATCCTCGCCTTTCAATAGACATACATGAGTATATCTTGCGTGGCCAATACGACATCGTCGTATGATGACCTCTTCAAATCTTGACGGACAACCCAAGTAGGTATAACCAACATAGGGTTTTATTTCATGTAACTTATTAATACCTAGTTGGGTGCCCCACTTCTTCTGCATCAGATCACGGATGTACAATCTAATCACAGATTTGTTGAGTGCTGCCTTAGCAGCAAGTTCGGCCATGGTGTTCCCAGAAATGCCAACGTGGCTGGGTAACCAACAAAAGATGATGTCGTATTAGCCAGTAGAAAGATCATTATATAATTCAATTAGAGAGATTTTTAATAGCCTGAAGGCAAGAGAGAGAGTCGGAAAAGATAATGTATTGTTTATATCTAGGGTGTTTATTCATATATTTTAAGGCTGTTAATAAGGCGTTAGCTTCTGCTGTGAAAATAGAGCTGTTATTTGGTAATCGGGAAGATATTGTTCTGGATCCAATGGCACAAGCAACCGAGCCACCAGCATTGGACCCATCTGTAAATAAGGATTTATATGTAGTATATTTACTTTTCAATTGATTATATTCTTGTTTATATTGTAAGACTTTAGTTTCTGATTTTTTTAATTTAGTGAGTGTTATGTCGACTTGTGGCCTAACCAATTGCCAAGGAGGAGAAGAAAGAAGACGGGAAGGAGATATATTTTCCAGCTCAATGCCGGCAGCAGTAATGAATGGCTTAATCCTGAGCCCAAGAGGCGGAACAAGAGAAGATTTCTTGTTGTACAAATCCCCATAAAGTGGATTAAAGATACAGTGAAATGCAGGATTAAACTCATTAGAATATAGTTTGGTAATATATTGTAATGATAATTTTATACGGCGTTGGGTAAGAGATGGTTCATCTGCCTCGACGTAGTGACTGTCAACGGGAGATGTTCTGAATGACCCAAAACAAAGTCTCAGACCTTGGTGGTGGACGGAAGCTAATAGTTTTAGGTTGCTTTTGCAGGCTCCACCGTATACGATGGAGCAATAATCAAGCTTCGAGCGGACCAGTGATCTATATAGGTGTAGGAGGGTAGTTTGGTCCCCTCCCCACTTTGAATTAGAAACGACTTTCAATAAATCGAGTGCCTTCATGCCTTTAGTTTTTAGGGATTTGAAATGTGGAAGAAAGGTTAAATGGGAGTCGAAAATCAGACCCAAGAACTTGGCCTCCTTGACAATCTTGATGGGGGTGCCATTTAAAAACAGTTCTGGGTCTTTATGTGGTGTATATTTACGGCAGAAATGTATGCAATTAGTTTTGATTTAGAAAATTTAAAGCCGTTTTCAAGACACCATTTGTTTATTTTATGTATACTGTAGTTGCCGTTCAATAGTATGCATATTCTTACCGCGACAAGAAATATTAAAATCATCCACAAAATGTGATCCATCGACTGAATCATTTAAAACTTTGGATAAACTGTTGATCTTAATACTAAATAATGTTACAGACAAAAAACTTCCTTGTGGGACTCCCTGATCCTGATTGTAATGGTCAGACAGGGTTGAACCCACTCGGACTTGAAATTGCCTG